GAATTTATTTGCAAATTATGGTGGAAAATAAGTATTTGGTCACCTACAAACAAGCAAGATTTCTGGCTCTCACAGACCTGTAACTTCTTCTTTAAGAGGCTCCTCTGTCCTCCACTCGTTACCTGTATTAATGGCACCTGTTTGAACTTGTTATCAGTATAACAGACACCTGTCCACAACCTCAAACAGTCACACTCCAAACTCCACTATGGCCAAGACCAAAGAGCTGTCAAAGGACACCAGAAACAAAATTGTAGACCTGCACCAGGCTGGGAAGACTGAATCTGCAATAGGTAAGCAGCTTGGTTTGAAGAAATCAACTGTGGGAGCAATTATTAGGAAATGGAAGACATACAAGACCACTGATAATCTCCCTCGATCTGGGGCTCCACGCAAGATCTCACCCCGTGGGGTCAAAATGATCACAAGAACGGTGAGCAAAAATCCCAGAACCACACGGGGGGACCTAGTGAATGACCTTTCAGAGAGCTGGGACCAAAGTAACAAAGCCTACCATCAGTAACACACTACGCCGCCAGGGACTCAAATCCTGCAGTGCCAGACGTGTCCCCCTGCTTAAGCCAGTACATGTCCAGGCCCGTCTGAAGTTTGCTAGAGTGCATTTGGATGATCCAGAAGAGGATTGGGAGAATGTCATATGGTCAGATGAAACCAAAATATAACTTTTTGGTAAAAACTCAACTCGTCGTGTTTGGAGGACAAAGAATGCTGAGTTGCATCCAAAGAACACCATACCTACTGTGAAGCATGGGGGTGGAAACATCATGCTTTGGAGCTGTTTTTCTGCAAAGGGACCAGGACGACTGATCCGTGTAAAGGAAAGAATGAATGGGGCCATGTATCGTGAGATTTTGAGTGAAAACCTCCTTCCATCAGCAAGGGCATTGAAGATGAAACGTGGCTGGGTCTTTCAGCATGACAATGATCCCAAACACACCGCCCGGGCAACGAAGGAGTGGCTTCGTAAGAAGCATTTCAAGGTCCTGGAGTGGCCTAGCCAGTCTCCAGATCTCAACCCCATAGAAAATCTTTGGAGGGAGTTGAAAGTCCGTGTTGCCCAGCGACAGCCCCAAAACATCACTGCTCTAGAGGAGATCTGCATGGAGGAATGGGCCAAAATACCAGCAACAGTGTGTGAAAACCTTGTGAAGACCTGTGTCATTGCCAACAAAGGGTATTTAACAAAGTATTGAGAAACTTTTGTTATTGACCAAATACTTATTTTCCAAAATAATGTGCAAATAAATTCATTAAAAATCCTACAATGTGATTTTCTGGATTTATTTTTCTAATTTTGTCTGTCATAGTTGACGTGTACCTATGATGAAAATTACAGGCCTCTCTCATCTTTTTAAGTGGGAGGACTTGCACAATTGGTGGCTGACTAAATACTTTTTTCCCCCACTGTATGTGGGAGAAGGAAGGACCAGGTTTGATTTTCTACAAGGTTCGAAAGCTTCTACCTGTATTTCACACAGATCTAGAATCAGTTTTTCCTTCCCCAAATCCGTAACCTTAACCATTAGGTAGGGAGTCAAAATGATCTGGGATCATTGTCTTACATCAATTTCTACCTAGTATTCAAAATAAATAAATGTCAGAGGTCCAGACCTCAGTGTCCTCATATGTAGTTACGGCCAAGAGTGTGTGTAATCTTCATATAGGTCTAACCCACCTGAATGGAAATGCAAAAACATATTTTTTCTTAGAAGCTATCACCGGTATTGCGTTTTTACGACGGTCCCTAAACCACCTGAGCACAAGAAAACAGCATATTGCCTAGTTTTTGGCTATGTTAAGGTTTGAGTTCGACCATTGGTCAAAACAAAGGGTCTAGGCTACCTTGCTCTCCACCATCATCTAATTCTAGATACATCTCTCTCTTCATCCTAGGTCATTATGTCCGAGAGCTATTGACGAGCAAACTCCGAATATCGAAAGTAAAAACACATTTACTGTAGTAGAAAACCTTACCTTTTTGAAGCCGGGTGGAATTTGCTTCACTGTGCTGCGCTAGGCCCAGACGACTGAGTGACTGAGCGAGAGTCGTGTCGGGTCGCTATATAGTTTTCCCCTAGGGGGAATCCCCTTGCTTTATTGTTTACTTGCAGTCAAAAGGAAACTTACAAATGAAGTTAAGAATACGGAAACTAGCAGAGTGCGATTACGGGAATTGTGGATCCGTCCTGTAGATGCAGTCTGATAAATAGGTAATAAGTAGCTTAGAGCGATTAAAAGGGTGTACAGTGATTTCATTCAGCGCAGTAGGCCTAATGGAGTGTAGAGCAACAGGTGGGCAACTTTGTAGGTTTATTGAAGTTGTCTGTAAATTGGTCAAATGTAGGCCTAATGCTGATGGTGTTGAAAGCAGACTCCTGACAAAGTAGCCTAGCATTATTATACTCTAGGCCTCTGTATGTAAGCAAACTAAGAGGTGTTTTGAACAGGTATATCATTATTTTGTCAATCTATAGATAAATTCAGGTCAATGCCGGCTAATGCAGGTGCTTACTCGGGAATATGTACAGTATATATTTAATATATATAAAACGTTTTTTTACTGCAACTACAGGAGGATTCCGGAGCCCCCTCTCAATGAGTGTAGACAGCCTGCTGCTGCAGATGGGGGGAGGAGAGGAGGTAGGGGGCCCACGTGGGTAACTGAGGGGCCCCGCCTTGATTGGGTAACTGATTAATAAAAAAATATATAAACTGCATAATAAATAAATATAACTGGCCAATTGTGTGAGTCAGGGGCTGGGCTCAAGCCCATAGGGGGCCCAAACATTTTTTTTATTTTTTTTTATCCAACCACAGGAGCCCACTTTCAATGTTCAAAATACACCAGAGAGCATAATATATATATATATATATATATATATATATATATATATATATATATATATATATATATAGATATAGATATAGATATAGATATACACTACCGTTCAAAAGTTTGGGGTCACTTAGAAATGTCCATGTTTTCCATGAAAACATACATGAAATGAGTTTGAATAGGAAATATAGCAAAATGAATAGGAAATGTAGTCATTGACGAGGTCAGAAATAAGGATTTTTAATTTAAATCATATTTGTGTCCCATTTTCAGCAATTACAGGCTCGCAGACTTTTGGCATTCTAGTTGTAAATGCTTCCTGAAGCACCTCCCACAAGTTGGATTGTCTTGATGGGCACTTCTTACGTACCATACGGTCAAGCTGCTCCCACAACAGCTCAATAGGGTTGAGATCCGGTGACTGTGCTGGCCACTCCATTATAGACAGAATACCAGCTGATTGCTTCTTCCCTAAATAGTTCTTGCATAGTTTGGAGCTGTGCTTTGGGTCCAATCAAGCGCCGTCCACAGGGTATGGCATGGCATTGCAAAACTGAGTGATAGCCTTCCTTCAAGATCCCTTTTACCCTGTACAAATCTCCCACTTTACCACCACCAAAGCACCCCCAGACCATCACATTGCCTCCACCATGCTTGACAGATGGCATCAAGCACTCCTCCAGCATCTTTTCATTTGGTCTACGTTTCACAAATGTTCTTCTTTGTGATCCGAACACCTCAAACTTTGATTTGTCTGTCCATAACACTTTTTTCCAATCTTCCTCTGTCCAGTGTCTGTGTTCTTTCGCCCATCTTAATCTTTTATTTTTATTGGCCAGTCTGAGATATTGCTTTTTCTTTGCAACTCTGCCTAGAAGGTCAGCATCCCAGAGTCGCCTCTTCACTGTTGACGTTGAGACTGGTGTTTCGCGGGTACTATTTAATGAAGCTACCAGTTGAGGACCTGTGAGGTGTCTGTTTCTCAAACTGGACACTAATGTATTTGTCCTCTTGCTCAGTTGTGCACCGGGGCCTCCCACTCCTCTTTCTATTCTGGTTAGAGACAGTTTGCGCTGTTCTGTGAAGGGAGTAGTACACAGCGTTGTACGAGATCTTCAGTTTCATAGCAATTTCTCACATGGAATAGCCTTCATTTCTCAGAACAAGAATAGACTGACGAGTTTCAGAAGAAAGTTATTTGTTTCTGGCCATTTTGAGCCTGTAATCGAACCCACAATTGCTGATGCTCCAGATACTCAACTAGTCTCAAGAAGGCCAGTTTTATTGCTTCTTTAATCAGCACAACAGTTTTCAGCTGTGCTAACATAATTGCAAAAGGGTTTTCTAATGATCAATTAGCCTTTTAAAATGATAAACTTGGATTAGCAAACACAACGTGCCATTAGAACACAGGATTGATGGTTGCTGATAATGGGCCTCTGTACGCCTATGTAGATATTCCATAAAAAAATCAGCCGTTTCCAGCTACAATAGCCATTTACAACATTAACAATGTCTACACTGTATTTCTGATCAATTTGATGTTATTTTAATGGACAAAAAAATTGCTTTTCTTTCGAAAACAAGGAATTTCTATGTGACCCCAAACTTTTGAACGGTAGTGTATATATATATATATATATATATATATATATATATATATATATATATATATATATATATACACACATACAGTATATATATTTGAACTAAGCCCAGGGCCTATGATTCCTTAATCTGGGGCCCCGTGTAGCTCAGTTGGTAGAGCATGGTGTTTGCAACGCCAGGGTTGTGGGTTCAATTCCCACGGGGGGCCAGTATGAAAAATGTATGCACTCACTTAACTGTAAGTCGCTCTGGATAAGAGCGTCTGCTAAATGGCAAAAATGCAAAAAATCTGTCCCTGAACATGTTACAATCAGTCTGTAGTTCCACTGTTGACTACTGCCAGACCAGATGTCCATTGTAAAAAGAGATGTCTCGCAATGGCACTTACCTGGATCAGTAAAGTATGAAAAGGTCAAGATAAAAAATGCATATTTTGCATGAGCCATGAGTCTCTAACTGCTGTGGATAATGCTAAGACTGTTGTACACTTACACCTCTCTCTTTCCCTCTCTCTCTCTCACACACACACACACAGCATATTCTTGGCATCTCTGTCTTTTCTCTCATGCTGCTACCTCTGGCGTTGTCTTGTGACAGCAACAGGACTATGAGAGAGATCGCTGAGGACTACGGGAATGTCATCTCCCCGCTCCTTCAGAACCTTGTAAGTACCATGACGGACAAGGAGTTTTCCTGTTGCCATGGAGATCTCAATAGAGTTTATGGACTTTAAAACAGACTTTAAACAGAGTTTATGGACCGTGTTAAATGGAGCTCTCTGCTTTCACTCCTAGGAGAACAACATCACTGAATCATTAAAAGTGATTAATAAAACCTGCACGGAGAAGGAAATCCCTGAATGTGAGAAGGATAAAGTGAGTATTTACAATATTATGAACAAACTTCCTTCAATCTTTTCGTTCCTCCCTTTTCTCATCTCTCACCTCTCCAAAGATCTACCCCAGGAGAATGGTGCAAGGCTGTTTACTTACTGCCCCCTGCTGTTTTAGATTTGGAACTGCATCACCAGAGTAGACAACCAACACAGAACGTTGACTTGAATGGGAATGTCCACTGTAGTCATTGTAATTCTCCAGATGACTCTGATCATTGTTTTGTAGGAGAGAGAGTTTATCCACAACCTGCTGTGTAGCCATAGCAGACTCATCAGGCTCTATAAACTAGAGAGGCTCAAGAGAGACATCCTGTGCTCACTGGGCCGCCACTGTCCTAGAAAACAGGTGAGATCCATTCATTCGTAGTTAGCCAACTACACTACATGTACAGTATGTCTTTCTTACACATGTTGAAATACTCTCCTTATATCTACTCACTGTATTATTACTAGCCATAGATATTGATTGACCATATTATTATTGAGTTGTCAATGTTCCTGTTTCTCAACATCCAGAGGAGTCCACAAGGACAGAGCGCACACCATCAGCATCAGAAGAGAAAGAAGAAGCCAGGAGGAGAAGGGGAGGAGGAAAATGAGAAAACTGAGGAGAACAGAGGGACCACTGAGGGAGGAGGGGAGAGGGTGGACAGTGGGAAACAGCAGGGACGAGAGAAAGGGGAGGGAAGCAGGAGCACAGAGGCCATGGAGCGGAGGAGGAGACGGTGTGGACTGAAGGTGTTTGTGGACAGCCTGAAGGAGTGCTACATGTCCCTGGCTGAAAGACATGGAGACCTGACATGAGAGGAGAGGAGAGACGCAGCCCGGAGCTAATCGTACCAAGAACCAACAAACTTACTGTAAAGTGTGTACAGTTACTGTAAAAAAAAAATATTATACTATTTGTCCTGTAAAGTAGTATTGTCTTGCCTAACACTTACTTAGGATAAAAGCATCTGCTAAATAACCATCCTATGGAATTACTATAATAGACATAGGGGGAAATCTGTGTGGTACCTAACAAAGTGGGAGGTGTTCTGTTGCAATGATGAAACTCTTGTGTCGCAATGGTAAGTATGTGGCACAGTGCAATTACAGTGAGGGGAAAAAGTATTTGATCCCCTGCTGATTTTGTACGTTTGCCCGCTGACAAAGAAATGATCAGTTTATAATTTTAATGGTAGGTTTATTTGAACAGTGAGAGACAGAATAACAACAAAAAAATCCAGAAAAACGCATGTCAAAAATGTTATAAATTGATTTGCATTTTAATGAGGGAAATAAGTATTTGACCCCTCTGCAAAACATGACTTAGTACTTGGTGGCAAAACCCTTGTTGGCAATCACAGAGGTCAGACGTTTCTTGTAGTTGGCCACCAAGTTTGCACACATCTCAGGAGGGATTTTGTGCCACTCCTATTTGCAGATCTTCTCCAAGTCATTAAGGTTTCGAGGCTGACGTTTGGCAACTCTAACCTTCAGCTCCCTCCACAGGTTTTCTATGGGATTAAGGTCTGGAGACTGGCTAGGCCACTCCAGGACCTTAATGTGCTTCTTCTTGAGCCACTCCTTTGTTGCCTTGGCCGTGTGTTTTGGGTCATTGTCATGCTGGAATACCCATCCACGACCCATTTTCAATGCCCTGGCTGAGGGAAGGAGGTTCTCACCCAAGATTTGACGTTACATGGCCCCGTCCATCGTCCCTTTGATGTGGTGAAGTTGTCCTGTCCCCTTAGCAGAAAAACACCCCCAAAGCAAAATGTTTCCACCTCCACGTTTGACGGTGGGGATGGTGTTCTTGGGGTCATAGGCAGCATTCCTCCTCCTCCAAACACGGCGAGTTGAGTTGATGCCAAAGAGCTCGATTTTGATCTCATCTGACCACAACACTTTCACCCAGTTCTCCTCTGAATCATTCAGATGTTCATTGGCAAACTTCAGACGGTCCTGTATATGTGCTTTCTTGAGCAGGGGGACCTTGCGGGCGCTGCTGGATTTCAGTCCTTCACGGCGTAGTGTGTTACCAATTGTTTTCTTGGTGACTATGGTCCCAGCTGCCTTGAGATCATTGACAAGATCCTCCCGTGTAGTTCTGGGCTGATTCCTCACCATTCTCATGATCATTGCAACTCCACGAGGTGAGATCTTGCATGGAGCCCCAGGCCGAGGGAGATTGACAGTTCTTTTGTGTTTCTTCCATTTGCGAATAATCACACCAACTGTTGTCACCTTCTCACCAAGCTGCTTGGCGATGGTCTTGTAGCCCATTCCAGCCTTGTGTAGGTCTACAATCTTGTCCCTGACATCCTTGGAGAGCTCTTTGGTCTTGGCCATGGTGGAGAGTTTGGAATCTGATTGATTGATTGCTTCTGTGGACAGGTGTCTTTTATACAGGTAACAAGCTGAGATTAGGAGCACTCCCTTTAAGGGTGTGCTCCTAATCTCAGCTCGTTACCTGTATAAAAGACACCTGGGAGCCAGAAATCTTTCTGATTGAGAGGGGGTCAAATACTTATTTCCCTCATTAAAATGCAAATAAATTTATAACATTTTTGACATGCGTTTTTCTGGATTTTGTTGTTGTTATTCTGTCTCTCACTGTTTAAATAAACCTACCATTAAAATTATAGACTGATCATTTCTTTGTCAGTGGGCAAACGTACAAAATCAGCAGGGGATCAAATACTTTTTTCCCTCACTGTATCCGAACAAACAAAGATGATTGATTGCTTGTGTATAAATGAAGTGCACTTTTGAGTAGAGAGACTTGTTGTAGCTCATGACGTCCCTCTTTCTGCTCCAGTGAGTGGTATTGGGCAGTGAGCCTGGCCTCTGGTGTGTGACAGTGTTGCTTTATTATTATAGAATGGCCGTTTGAAAGCCTATTCCACCACGGATGTTTGCTTTCAACTCGGGTGTCTTAGCTACTGAAATCCACGTAGGGCTACTGAAACCTTCCCCAGAAACTTCCTGTGAAATTCAACCAACACTTTTCGTGCAAGCCTTTTTCCCTTATTTGATGAATGATGCTCATCTTAACCTGATTTCAAGCTTTGTAGGGTAGTTTGCCAGGTATAAGGCACCATGATATCCAATGTTATGTCTAAATGTAACTGTAGCATTGGTTTTAGTACTATTTATTTTATTCTGAAATTATATTGACTCACAAGTGTTAACTGTACCCCTCTAATCATTTTATAGTGAAGCACGTAATTATCCCCTGTGTGTGTCAGAGCGAAATAAGAAGTTTTGATGTTGTTGTGATCCTTAGGCCACTATAACTCTACATTAATAGAGCTTAAACTGCCATTGTGGTTTTGCCTGGGTGCCAGTCTGTTTCTGCTGTTGCCATATAACACTTTCAAAGCCTGGGGAAGAAGGAAAATATGTGCATGAATTACTCTTATCCTTATAACGTGACAAAGTGGTAGTTGTACGTGCTAGGATAATTAATTATGCATTTATATTGTACAATTGTATTTTGTTTAGTGTTTTGTTGCACAAGTACTTATGCTGCATTCATAACCAAGTGGGAAGGTGGTAATTACCTGTTGTGAAGTCATAAATACTAGTTGGATGCATGATGCTTTGAACTCGTGGAGAAAGCTGCGTCAAACCATAAACTAAAAGTATAGCTATCATGCTTGAAAACGAATTATAGTCTTCAAAGACAATATGAATAGATTGCTTTTTATAAATAATGTTTCTTGTTGCATTTAACTGTTGAAAATGCTGTTATCGAGGTCATTTCCTTAGTAGGTGAGAGTTCAGCATGTGGGGAAAATTGGAGCTCAGGGATCATAGACGAGTTTCCCACTAGTAATTGCGAGTTGGAAGGGCATTCCAGTGGATTTTTCCCAGTCGTATGCTCCTATGTACGAATTTACGATTTCAGCAATAAAGAGTTGACCTGCCAGTCCATCTTCAAATCTGTGGGTTAAAACCACCATGAATATTCAATCAAACTCAATGTTATCAAAAATAAAACAGCTGATTAAAAAAACACAATTAAAAACACTTACAAATGATTAAATATGTTCATATTTAAAGGACCTCTCTGCTTAGGCTGCTACTAGGGTGCTATGGGAACTATAGAATCAATAATAAGCCCATATGGGCTGGGCACCAAATGGTGTATGACAACATGAACAGATATCAGGCTTATTGAGTTATGATTGTGTTATCCATGTACTGTATAATATGTAATATATTCTACCAAGGACTGCAAATATATTTTTATATTCAACTGCAAATACCTTTTATGGTGTATTCCTTCTTTAAAGACCAACTAACCCGCAATTTATGGGACACCTAAAACCAGTCTGCTGTTTGTCCTAGCTAAAGAAGACCACACACACACAAACACACACATCGAATGACAAATACACAGAAGATTCTTCATAAATGTTTATTGTTAAACGTAAAGGACGGAAGTACGACAGTCAATTCCCAGTATAGGAATGTCCTATCCAGTCAGGTAAGCATTGCATATCATGTAAATAACGCTTGCATCAGGGAGCATTTACAGTCATTACAAGTTCTTTAAAATGAAACAAATTAAGATGTTTCGATACAGCTCAATATACTAAAGATGACTACAATAACATTAATTATATGGATGAAATTAGATATGAGTTCCTTTTAGTGTAAAATTATTATTTACCCATATCATGAGTTGGGTAGATACAGTGGGGAAAAAAAGTATTTAGTCAGCCACCAATTGTGCAAGTTCTCCCACTTAAATAGATGAGAGAGGCCTGTAATTTTCATCATAGGTACACGTCAACTATGACAGACAAAATGAGAAAAAAAAATCCAGAAAATCACATTGTAGGATTTTTTATAAATTTATTTGCAAATTATGGTGGAAAATAAGTATTTGGTCAATAACAAAAGTTTCTCAATACTTTGTTATATACCATTTGTTGGCAATGACACAGGTCAAACATTTTCTGTAAGTCTTCACAAGGTTTTCACACACTGTTGCTGGTATTTTGGCCCATTCCTCCATGCAGATCTCCTCTAGAGCAGTGATGTTTTGGGGCTGTCGCTGGGCAACACAGACTTTCAACGCCCTCCAAAGATTTTCTATGGGGTTGAGATCTGGAGACTGGCTAGGCCACTCCAGGACCTTGAAATACTTCTTACGAAGCCACTCCTTCGTTGCCCGGGCGGTGTGTTTGGGATCATTATCATGCTGAAAGACCCAGCCACGTTTCATCTTCAATGCCCTTGCTGATGGAAGGAGGTTTTCACTCAAAATCTCATGATACATGGCCCCATTCATTCTTTCCTTTACACGGATCAGTCGTCCTGGTCCCTTTGCTGAAAAACAGCCCCAAAGCATGATGTTTCCACCCCCATGCTTCACAGTAGGTATGGTGTTCTTTGGATGCAACTCAGCATTCTTTGTCCTCCAAACACGACGAGTTGAGTTTTTACCAAAAAGTTCTATTTTGGTTTCATCTGACCATATGACATTCTCCCAATCCTCTTCTGGATCATCCAAATGCACTCTAGCAAACTTCAGACGGGCCTGGACATGTACTGGCTTAAGCAGGGGGACACGTCTGGCACTGCAGGATTTGAGTCCCTGGCGGCGTAGTGTGTTACTGATGGTAGGCTTTGTTACTTTGGTCCCAGCTCTCTGCAGGTCATTCACTAGGTCCCCCCGTGTGGTTCTGGGATTTTTGCTCACCGTTCTTGTGATCATTTTGACCCCACGGGGTGAGATTTTGCGTGGAGCCCCAGATCGAGGGAGATTATCAGTGGTCTTGTATGTCTTCCATTTCCTAATAATTGCTCCCACAGTTGATTTCTTCAAACCAAGCTGCTTACCTATTGCAGATTCAGTCTTCCCAGCCTGGTGCAGGTCTACAATTTTGTTTCTGGTGTCCTTTGACAGCTCTTTGGTCTTGGCCATAGTGGAGTTTGGAGTGTGACTGTTTGAGGTTGTGGACAGGTGTCTTTTATACTGATAACAAGTTCAAACAGGTGCCATTAATACAGGTAATGAGTGGAGGACAGAGGAGCCTCTGAAAGAAGAAGTTACAGGTCTGTGAGAGCCAGAAATCTTGCTTGTTTGTAGGTGACCAAATACTTATTTTCCACCATAATTTGCAAATAAATTCATTAAAAATCCTACAATGTGATTTTCTGGAGAAAAAAAATCTAAATTTATCTGTCATAGTTGACGTGTACCTATGATGAAAATTACAGGCCTCTCTCATCTTTTTAAGTGGGAGAACTTGCAAAATTGGTGGCTGACTAAATACTTTTTTTCCCCACTGTATGTCTTTACCGTCTTACTGGCGGGCCGCAGTGTGTGCAGGCTTTTGTTCCTGCCCGGCACTAACACACCTGATTCAGCTAAATGAACCACCGTGAGCTTTGTCAAGATCAGTGGTCTTGTATGTCTTTATGGGTGGTCCTCTGTAGCTCAGCTGGTAGAGCACGGCGCTTGTAACGCCAAGGTAGTGGGTTCGATCCCCGGGACCACCCATAAATGTATGCATGCATGACTGTAAGTCGCTTTGGATAAAAGCATCTGCTAAATGGCATATTATATTATTATTATCAGTAGAATCAGGTGTGTTAGTGCCGGGCTGAGGCAAAAGCCTGCACACTCTGTGGGGTTCAGGACCATGATTGAAGATAATTGATGTGGTCTGGGGAACTGGCTGAATGTGACCTGCAGGGACAGTGGGACAGTGTTGGTGAGGACTGGTCAGTGCATGTACCGGCCCGTACCGTAAATCCCAGATTATCCCATTCAATACTGATTCAAAATGAACATGGAGTACGTTTACATGCACAGTAATAATTCGATACTAAACAGACTATGGCAGTAGGCAGACTATGCAATAGTCATGTAAACATCTTACTCTGATCATCTTAAATCGGTGTAAGGTCAAAACTAAGTAAGTATACGGTTCTGAGTAATCTTTCGAATTATTAGGACATGTAAACACCCTAATCGGCGTTCCAGCCGTGTATTTGATCTGCGCATGTGCTAGCACCAGCTGAGCGAGCGTCCCTCTTTAGCACGAGTGAAGTGAGGTCGAGTGCCTTTTTTAAAATTAGTTTTCACATACAAAACGTTATATATCCGAACTCAGAATCAACGTATATTTTGATTGGTGATTTTCTGCATTTATCAGAGTGCCATCAGGTAGCCTGATTACAGACGTGTCCATGTAGACAGGCTTATTAGGGAAATCGTTATTCTTGCAAAGCACGTAAACATTTTAATCAAACTATTATATTAATCTGACTATCCACAAGAATCGCATAATTGTGTGCATGTAACCGTACTCACTGAAGGAAACACAGAACACATGTAGGTAGATACAGAGAAAGGCTTTAACAAAACCACAAAAAAATACAACAACAAAAAAAAAAAACAGAGATGAAATAAATGAACCCATTTCCTTGTATACAGTATGTGGAAATAGCAGTATATGAATGATGGTCAATTTTAACGCCTTGTATCGGACATGTTATACCGTGTTTTGAAATTGCTGCCTTTAAAATTATTTAAAATCCCTGACCTGTACCACAACTATTTAACAGCAATGGCCTCTTACACTGCATGTTAATGTTTCTTTTCGTCATTAATTTTGTTCTAGATGCAGCTCTGCAGTCATAAAATCTGATCTCAAACCTAACCCTTACCACACTGCTAAACCTAATGCCTAACCCTAAATGAAGACCAAAAAGTACATTTTTGTTTTCATGAATTTTTACAATATAGACAATTTTGACTTTGCAGCTGTCCTAAAGGGAAATCACCCAGGCCGTGTCTAGACTTGACAGTTCATGCAGATTTTGTATTCTGTTCATATAGTTCTGATCAGGTCATACGTCTACACCTACATTTAAACGTGTCTACCATGTCCACAGTGTGTCCGGATTCCAAATGCCAGTATGTATGCATTCTACAAACGGTGGAATAGGCCAAATATGAAAATAACTACTGTAGCTAACTAGCCAGCTAACCTCTGTAGCTAGCCAGCAAGCTAGTGAGCAACGCAAAAGGGATTGCAAACGGGATAACTCTAGCTAAACAAAAACGTTTTTCTAAATATTAGCTAGCTGGCTACCATTTGAGGCCAGCAAACACGTTCCTCACACGCTAGGAAGGTATTTCCTCCAACGTTATAATGAAAAGGTACCTCTCTGTCCCAAAACATGTTTTCTGGAGACTTGTGGGAGGAGTGCCGATGATGTCGCCCACTGTATGCGCTTTCGGTAGCCTGATTGGTCCAGACTGAGGGGAAACCCGCACACAATGCATCCCTCACCACCTCCTGAAGTGGTCAGTCAGATCTTAACACAATTCGACCACAAAGCGTCTAGACCCGTCTTTTCAATGCGATCTTCGTATTCTGATAGCAGAAGTCGCATGTAAGTGTCAAGTGTAGACACGACCTCAGTTCTGCCTCCAGGACAAGACTGATAACAATAAAGGTCAACCTGCTTTTACACTGGTCCCAGTAAAAACAATGTGTATTCTTTTCCAAATACTTAACATTAATTATACTCATGACAATGAAAAGAATGAGTCCACTTTGCCACATCACACATTCCATTCATCTTCAAGAATTAAACTCCTTTTTTTTTATCAGTAGTCAATCATATTGCACTTCAATAGTAACACATTGAATATGTGAGGCAGGAGAGAAACGGGTGGGAGGGAGTAGATAGGATGAGAGTGTGGGTTTCTACCTAGGGTTATATTGGAGAGGGCTTGTAGACCATGGTACACTGGTTGGGATAAGAATGGGTTAGGATGGAAATTGGGGGGACAGTATGAAAAAAAAAAAATGTATGCACTCTGGATAAGAGTGTCTGCTAAATAACTAAAATGTAAATGTAAATTTGGGGTAATTATTTACTTGAGCCTTCTGTTGTAAAGCCTACATAACACTGTCATAATAATGACATTAACAGTTATGTGCGCTGATATCAAACTAACTTTACAATATTATGAGGGGGAAAAAACTCATTCCTGCTGGCCAAGTACTATTTTAGCTAGGTAAGTGTTATAACACCATTATGGCCCAGGGTTCCAGTGAAGTGCCACCCTTTTATTTAATTTCCTATTTCCCTCCTCTCCTCTCATCTTTCCTCTTTTCTCTCATATATTTTTCTCCGTTCTCCTATCCTCCTCCCTTCTTTCTCTCTCCTCCCGTCTCTCAGAAGGACATCCTAGACTCCTCTCTACATCTACTCTCTTGCCTCTACCCCACTCTACTCCTCTATCCCTCTGTATTCTCCTCCTCTACCCCTCTCCTCTACTCCTCTCTCTTCTCCTCCTCTCCTCCTTTAAATACACATCCTACGAACCCCACACTCACAGCAGAACTTGGCCCAGTCTACAGGGTACTTGGTTCCACACTCGTGGCAGAACTTTGTCATCATTCCACCATTATCCACATCATTTTCACTTTTGGCATCGCTCCTGAAGTGGAGAAAGACAGGGAAGGGGAAAAAAGTAGAGTGAGATATAAACAGAGAGAGAGAGAGAGAGAGAGTGAGAAAGAGAGAGAGTGAGAGTGACAGAGGTCCCATGTGGCTCAGTTGGTAGAGCATGGTGCTTGCAACGCCAGGGTTGTGGGTTCAATTGCCACGGTGGACCAGTATGAAAATGTATGGGCTCACTACTGTATGTCACTCTGGATAAGGGTGTCTGGTAAATTACTAAAATGTAATGTAAATGTAGAGAGAAGGCAAGCACTGCAGTGGTTTAATTATGCTGAGCAATACCACAACCTACCACAAGAGGACAGTGTTTATTGTCTGGACTTGTATTTTGTCTAACACATCCACTGCAAGTGAACCATCACATACAATCTCCCAGTCACACTCATACAGGCCTTTTCCTACCTGGAGTTGTATTTGTCTGCGTTGTAGGCTTTCCGGTTGTTGAGTCCCCCTGCTGTCTGAGAGATCTTCACAGAGCCATAGGAACCTACTGGACGGGGCTTACCGACAACACTGATAGAAGGGAAGGGAAGAGTTTTTACTGGTGGTCTTAAACGTATAATGTGTGTTACATATTGACAGGATTTGGTGACGTGTGCGTGCATGCAGGTGTGTGTGTGTTAATGTTGTGCGCATGGTGTGTGTGTGTACTAACCCTGAAGGTGGACTAGTGAGGCCAGAAGCGGCGGTGCGGTTAGGAGAGTAACCAGACGGAGTGCTCCTCACTGATCCTGCAGAGGGAACCTTACTGGACGAAATCCCTATAGGGACGAGAAGAGAGGAGAGGAGAGAAGAGGAGAGGAGGGGAGAGGAACAGAGGGTGTAGACTTAAAAACATGTCAGTCCTGTCTCTCCAGAAAAGTGGCTTCAATTCAGTGACATTGTATCTGGATGGCTGATATGCCCAGCCCAAGAGGTTTTGTTGATTGTAGCACCATAGAGTATTAGCTTCAGTCAGTGTGGCCTAGCACAGAAGAGACAGGGTCTACTTGGAGTTGTCCTCTGTAAGACAGAGAGACAGTGTTCTAAAAGAGACTGAGCAGAAATAGAGACAAGCATGTGAAATAACCCCTGTGTTACACAAATATCTGCACCATCATCTGACTGTGAGACACTGTGTGTGTTACCTGAGGGCTGGCCCAGGACAGATCTCTGGGGTAAGCGGGAGGAAGAGGGCACAGCGGACACAGCAGGAGAGTTAGACTTCTTCACGGCAGCAGGAGGCTTGAACTATGGAGCGCACGCACACACACTTTTGTTTTATGCAGTGCAACACACTCACTGAACACTTTACTCTCTGTGTATGGCTCACACACTTAAAGAGACATTAAACAAACACACACACACACACGCCAGTGCTGTCCTACCTGTGTGCGTGCAGGTGTTTTCTTGACGTCCACAGCGCCAGGTACCTTGGCCTTGTTCTGCATTCGAGCGTGTTGCTCCTTACAGAATTTCATGTGTCTGTCTGCTGCATTCTCACTGAACCGCCGCTCGCAATATGGACACTGGATATAATCTAGAACAACACAATCACTGGATATAATCTGGAACAACACAATCACACGGTCACTGGATATAATCTGGAACAACACAATCACACAGTCACTGGCTATCATCTGGAATAAACACAATCACTGGATATAATCTAGAACAACACAATCACTGGATATAATCTAGAACAACACAATCATACAGTCACTGGATATAATCTGGAACAACACAATAACACAGTCACTGGATATAATCTGGAAACACATGAAGGTATTATGTTGTTCAGTGACCTCACTCGCCAATCTTATGTTTAAGAGGGAGAATCTCTAAACAAAATGTTTAGAAGACGGGGGTGGACGATGGGGTAAGGGTGTTGTTACCTGAGTAAGGTTGTTGTTACCTGGGACGTACATTGGGGGTGAAGGAGGGGGTAAGGGTGTTGTTAGCTGGGTCGTAGGAGGGGGCTGGAGGAGGGGTAAGGGTGTTGTTAGCTGGGTCGTAGGAGGGGGCTAGAGGAGGGGGTAAGGGTGTTGTTACCTGGGTCGTAGGAGGGTGGTGGGGGAGGGGGTAAGGGCCCCCCCTCCTTCATGACCTGAGTGATGCCCTTGGCAGCTCTGATTGTGGCGATGAAGTCCTCGTGTTTCCTGCGCCAGTTAGACTGCTTCTTAGGAGGCTCCGGCTGGAACACACACACACACACACACACACACACACACACACACACCCACACACACACCCACACACACCAACACAAACTTCAGTACCCATCCGTCTGGAATGATGAAGGGAAACTGGATCCAAAGAAGTGCCTTTTAATGACTTTAGAATAGAGAAAGAAACTTCTCAGCAACATCTCTCACTCTCTTCTAATACCTAATTCACACAGGCTGTACGGTATGTTGCCCATAAAATTTTTTTTTGACAATGTTTATATGCTACCCTTTCAAACAGTCCCATTTTTACCACATTATTGCCGGCATAAACCTTTTATACCTCCCGTGCGCATGTATGCACCGGTGACGAGTGGGAGTAGGGGTGTGCCGATGTGGGTGGCCTATTTTAATAAATCCATTGAATATACACCATCACAAAGAAATGCATTAGTAATTTGTTTAGGCAGGTCCTAAGATACATTATGACTAATACAACTTATTTTCAAAAGAATAGAATGGCATATTTTTAGTTTAATGATGTTACTGGTCTATACTGCCCATAGGCTTCTACATGGCTGCACCATGCAGATGAAATCAATAGTTCATTATTTGGTTCATTAAACAGACAAGACACACGTACATTCCCTGCCCTGATCACAGTCAACACACATAGATTTTATATACTGAGCAAAACTATAAAACATAACATGTAAAGTGTTGATCCCATGTTTCATGAGCTGAAATAGAAGATCTCAGAAATGTTCCTGTCACGCGCTGACCTTGAGAGCCCTGTTTTCTCTAGTTGGTTTGGTCAGGGTGTGAATTCTAGATTTTGTATTTCTATGTTGGTCGGGTGTGGTTCCCAATCAGAGGCAGCTGTCGATCGTTGTCTCTGATTGGGGATCATACTTAGGCAGCCATTTTGCCTACCTTAGTTGTGGGATCTTGTTTCTGTTTTGGCTTGTGTAGCCTGTTGAACTTCACGGTGGTTTGTATTTTGTTGTTTTGATTCTGTATTCAGTTAATAAAGGAATATGTACGCATACCCCGCTGCACCTTGGTCTGATCTGTCTATCAACGAGCGTGACAGAAGATCCCACCACCAACGGACCAAGCAGCGTGGCCAGGAAGAGCAGACATCCTGGACATGGGAGGATATTTTGGACGGTAAGGGATCCTGGACTTGGGAAGAGATCCAGGCAGGAATGGATCACCTCTCATGGGAGCAGACGGAGGCAGCGAGGGAGGATAAACGGCGACTCTGAAGTTCACGACGACGAAGGAAGCCAGAGAGGCAGCCCCAATAAAACATTTTTGGGGGGCACACGGGGTGGTTGGCGAAGCAGCAGGAGGCCCTGAAAGGGCTGACTGTGGAGGAGGTGGAGGCCGCTATGATAGAGGCCCTCCAAGACCTGCAGCTCAGCACTCTGAGAGAGGAGACCACCACCTTACGGGGGCTGATAGCTAAGAGGGAGCAGGAGATCGCCCTTCAGAGGGAGGCGCTGCAGGAGGCCCACAGGGAGAAGGAGTCAGTGGATGCACTGAGAGAGGAGCTGGCCAGGCAACAGGAGGAGCTGAGAGAGGAGTTAACCCTCCAGCAGCAGAGAGCGCAGTCCTTAAAGCAGGCTGACGGAGCCAGGTTTCAGAGTAGAGCCAACTCCCCGCACTCGCGTTAAGGAGCGTGGGACCATACAGGCACCCTGTTATGCTGTGATACGCACTGTGTCTCCAGTGCGCATTCACAGCCCGGTGCGCTTAGTGCCCGCCCTCCGCACTTGCCGGGCTAAAGTGAGCGTCCAGCCAGGACGGGTTGTGCCTGCTCCTCGCACCAAACCAGTGGTGCGTGTCTCCAGTCCGGTAAGGCCCGTGCCTGCTCCTCGCACCAGACCAGTGGTGTGTGTCTCCAGTCCGGTACGGCCCGTGCCTGCTCCTCGCACCAAACCTGTGGTGCGTGTCTCCAGTCCGGTACGGCCCGTGCCTGCTCCTCGCACCAGACCAGTGGTGCGTGTCTCCAGTCCGGTACGGCCCGTGCCTGCTCCTCGCACCAGACCAGTGGTGCATGTCTCCAGTCCGGTACGGTCCGTTCCTGCTCCTCGCACCAAACCAGTGGTGCGTGTCTCCAGCCCGGTACAGCCCGTGCCTGCTCCTCGCACCATACCAGTGGTGCGTGTCTCCAGTCCGGTACGGCCCGTTCCTGCTCCTCGCACCAGACCAGTGGTGCGTGTCTCCAGTCCGGTACGGCCCGTGCCTGCTCCTCGCACCAGACCAGTGGTGCGTGTCTCCAGTCCGGTACGGCCCGTTCCTGCTCCTCGCACCAAACCAGTGGTGCGTGTCCCCAGTCCGGTACGGCCCGTTCCAGGCCACGCACCCGACCTCCAGCGAGGGTCCTCTGCTCCACCCCAGTGCCAGAGCAGTCCGCTCCGCCGGTGCCCAGTCCAGCTCCGGTCAGCTGCTCCAGTCCGGTGCCAGAGTAGTCCGCTCCACCGGGGTTCAGTTCAGCTCTGGTCAGCGGCTCCACTCCTGTGCTGGAGCAGTCCGCTCCACCGGTGTCTAGTCCAGCTCCGGTTATCTGCTCTTCCCCCATGCCGAAGCCATCTGCTCCACCGGGGTCTGAGCCGGAACCAGACGTCAATCCCTCTCCAGGGTCGGAGTCTCCCACACCAGGGTCCAGACAGGGCTTGGTGCATCGCGGGAGGACTGCTGGGCCGGGACCAGATGTCAGCCCCTCTCCAGGGTCGAGGGCTCCCACACCAGGGTCCGGACAGGGCTTGGTGCATCGTGGGAGGACTGAGAGGGGAAGCATTGCGCCGGGGTCCAGACCGGACCGGGTGTGCAACGGGGAGGCAGGAAGGGAGAAGAGGTTTATACCGACGTCGCGCCCGAAGCCGGAGCCGGAGCCGCCACCGAGGCTAGATGCCCACCCGGACCCTCCCCTAATGAGTCAGGTTGGTGCGGCCGGAGTACGCACCTTTGGGGGGGGGGGGGGGGGGTACTGTCACGCCCTGACTTTGAGAGCCCTGTTTTCTCTAGTTGGTTTGGTCAGGGTGTGAATTCTAGATTTTGTATTTCTATGTTTGCCGGGTGTGTTCCCAGTCAGAGGCAGCTGTCGATCGTTGTCTCTGATTGGGGATCATACTTAGGCAGCCATTTTGCCTACCTTAGTTGTGGGATCTTGTTTCGGCTTGTGTTTGTGTAGCCTGTTGAACTTCACGTTCGTTTGTATTTTGTTGTTTTGATTCTGTATTCAGTTAATAAAGGAATATGTACGCATACCACGCTGCACCTTGGTCTGATTCGTCTATCAACGAGCGTGACAGTTCCATACGCACAAAAAGCGTATTTCTCTCAAATGTTCTGCACAAATTTGTTTACATCCCTGTTAGTGAGCATTTCTCCTTTGCCAAGATAATCCATCCACCTGACAGGTGTGGCATATCAAGAAGCTGATTAAAAGGCATGATCATTACACAGGTGCACCTTGTGCTGGGGACAATAAAAGGCTACTTTAAAATGTGCAGTTTTGTCACACAACACAATGCCACAGATGTCTCAAGTTTTTAGGGAGCGTGCAATTGGCATGCTGACTGCAGGAATATCCACCAGAGCTGTTGCCAGAGAATTTAATGTTCATTTCTCTACCATAAGCCGCCTCCAACATCATTTTAGAGAATTTGGCACTACGTCCAACCGGCCTCACAACCGCAGACCACGTGTAACCACGCCAGCCCAGGACCTCCACATCCGGCTTCTTCACCTGCGGGATCGTCTGAGACCAGCTACTGGCACGCTTGAAGTGTGCTCTTCTCTGATTAATCCCGGTTTCAACTGTACCGGGCAGATGGCAGACAGCGTGTATGGCGTCGTGTGGGCGAACACAATTGTATTTTATCGATGGCAATTTTAATGCACAGAGATACCGTGATGAGATCCTGAGACCCATTGTCGTGCCATTCATCCGCCGCCATCACTTCGTGTTTCAGCATGATAATGCATGGCCCCATGTCACAAGGGTCTATACACAATTCCTGGAAGCTGAAAATGTCCCAGTTCTTCCATGGCCTGCATACTCACCAGACATGTCACCCATTGAGCATGTTTGGGAAGCTCTGGATCGACATGTATGACAGCATGTTCCAGTTCCCAACAATATCCAGCAACTTCACACAGCCATTGAAGAGGAGTGGGAAAACATTCCACAGGCCACAATCAACAGCCTGATCAACTCTATGCAAAGCAGATGTGTCCTGCTGCATGAGGCAAATGGTGGTCACACCAGATACTGACTGGTTTTCTGATCCACGCCCCTACTTTGTTTTTTTTAAAGGTATCTGTGACCAACAATTGACTGATTTCCTTATATGAACTGTAACTCAGTAATATCTTAGAAATTGTTGCATGTTGCATTTATATTTTTGTTCAGTGTAGTAAGAATATAATGGAATATAACAGAATAAAATATAAATAATAATAACTTGTGTCACTGGATGGTGTGGAAACAAACAAGTGATATGCCCTCATTTTACTTGAGTTTGTATGTGCTTTAGAAACCTTAGAATCTGCTCTTTCCACAAGAAAAAAATAATCTGACCTAGATTAACCTTTTGATCCACGTTATCTTATTTTCCTACTCACTCCGCTTTGTTAGAAATCAGGAACATTGACAACTTGCTAGCAAACATCCATTGCCAACTGATTTTTTTTATAGTAGCAGCAGACTGTTATCTAAACAGGACTAATCGTAGCAAAACATGCTCAACATAAATGTCCAACAACATATTGTAGCCTATAGCTTTTGCGACTCCAGCGGCCCGTTAAAAATAAATAAATTGGGGGATCAGAATGAGCCAAATTCTGTAATCCTCTTTTTTTTCTATCCAGGATCAGATCGAATTGGCTGTTTTTGTACCAGTTTTTCTGAAAAGAATTGGATAGAATCATTCGTATCCAGATACCACAATATCAAGATAACAGAATCCAGATTTTCAGTGCTTTGAACAGGCCTACACCTCGCCATCTACTGGACAGGTTGTGGGACTACTTCTACACTGTCATAGGGACACAGAAATGAATAAAGGTACCTTGATTATATATAAATTATAGAGCCTGCATATCACTTATAAGTAAGTAGATGCATTTATTTGACAGTTCTCAATATAACTACTGACCACATACCTATACTGCAGTCAATTTAACATAATTAACTTTTGGTTTTCCGATGTAAGAAAACATTTTTGACTTTCTCACCTTTCTTGGTTGTAGAGCCTTTCACCTTTCTAAATACACCCTGAATCCATCCTTCCAGTGGGATAAAGATAATCCAGATTTTTGGGATCAAAACTATCCTAATCACTACCTTTGAGTTTTGAAAAACGACATACAATCCTGATTAAAAGGTCAAATTGGATTACCAAATCCTTATCCCAAATTGTACCGTTTTGAAAAACCTAATGCTAACATGTAATCCTATCTGATTTACCAAAATCCAATAAGATAACTTTTTTAAAACTGCCGCATGATGAACTACATGACGATAGCCAAGACAAAATAGCTTGCATGTCACTTGTAAGGAAATGTAATTGCATAACTTTTAATATAACACTTTAAAAAGTTTAATATTTTTCAGCTAAATTTGCCATCTCACTGAATAACTAAAATAATTCTAAACACAAATCCATATTCTTCAGAAGTCTTCATCATATGAAAATGCAACCCCAGCATCTTTGAAGCATGATTGAAATAAGCAAATGCACTGTTTTGTCTCTTTTTGTTGGAGCACTATCAACTTGATCTGCTCTTCAGCAAGAAAAAAGTCAGATGTTATGCCCTCTCCGTTTCCTGCTTTACGAGATTTCCATCGGCATCATCACTGGTGTCTTTCTCAAGATGCCTTCTGTCCTAATCACTACCTTTTGAGTTTTGAAAAACGCCAAAACAACATTTAATCCTGATTAAAGGTGAGATTGTATTTGTATTTATTATGGATCCTCATTAGCTGCTGCCAAGGTAGCAGCTACTCTTCCTGGTGTCCAGCAAAATTAAGGCAATTATACATTTAAAAAACATTACAATACATTCATAACAGATTTCACAACATATTAAGTGTGTGCCTTCAGGCCTCTACTCTACTACCACATATCTATAACACAAAATCCATGTGTACATGTGTGCATAGTGCGTATGTGATCGTGTGTTTGTATGCCTGTGTCTATGTTTGTGTTACCAAATCCTTATCCGGAGGATCAGAATCTAATTTTTCTGTTTTGAAAAACCCAATTATAACATTTAATCCTATCTGATTGGGGAAATCCTAGCAGATAACTTTTGAAAAACTGGCCCCAGGAGAAGAGGAATAGAGGAGAGGCTTGTGTAATTGTGCATTGCCTCATCTGGAAAAGAGAAGCTATGTGTAGCTGAAGAAGCTCATTCATATTAACCCATCATTCGTTGGCTAAATATTAGGCCTAATACTGCGGCAAATGTATCATCACCAGCCAATGTGATCACACCATCATATGCTTTCTCTCCATTCAAACTCCACACCAATTAGGCAATTTGTATATTTTTTTTACCATAGCATTGCATTTACCATGCCGTTTAAGTGCCAAAAGAGTACATATTTTCAAGCTCTGGAGAATAGTGCTATTTGTGTGTATTACATTCCTAAATAGGAATGAATGTGATAAAGTACGTACCAAACTGCATGCCTACCCACAGTATCTATCTGGGATTTGGTTTATCCCATGAAAACGACACTACTGGAGAACACATCTAGGTTCCCTCCCAAAAGTAGGGCACTATATAGGAAATAGGGTGTCATCTGGGACACACCCTAGCCAATTATTATTCTGGTAGACAGCAGGGAGGGGAAAGCTGTCCAAGACATAATACAGCATTGTTTTCCTTTTCAGTTTCCATTAAAATGCATGTCAGGCAGCGTGGCTAGCTGTCAGAAGCAGTGGAGAAGTATAGGATGTAGCCTAGGCATCTAGCTACTCCTCGTCAATCAGACTACTGTTATCACCTAGATTTAGACTACACAACAAGCAATAGTCTGAGGAGTTGAGCTAAATCACATACAGACAGATCTGGGACCAGCCTAGGAGCGTATAGCTCTGCTCTGGAAGGCCCAAGCACATACAGACAGATCTGGGACCAGCCTAGGAGCGTATAGCTCTGCTCTGGAAGGCCCAAGCACATACAGACAGATCTGGGACCAGCCTAGGAGCGTATAGCTCTGCTTTGGAAGGCCCAAGCACATACAGACAGATCTGAATGCAGGAGAGCTTTTAGTATTTATTACCTTTCCGGTTTAGAAAATGGATTGTATGAAAAAAGTTCATGTCATACAAAAATGGATTGTATGAAAAAAAATGTCTGTTAGAGAATAGGGAGAGAGTGGAAGAGGATTGGTTCATGCAGTTGTCAGATGACAGTCTTGGATTGGTCAGATGATATTCTGAGATCATGGACATTTCCACCACGATAGACATTATTTGTCTCTCTCACACAGTCATGGTCTGTTCCATATGAATTATAACACACACCAGAATTTCCCTTCTATGGCATTTGCATCCAGTAACTTCATGCCCAGCCCAGCACTACTCGTTAGGCTTCTGTTTCAAATAGAGCTTCTGACACAATAGAGCAAGATACAGTGCAAAAGGGCCAATACATTTTTGAATACCAGCACTGTTGTGTTACAACAACACACAAACGTAAAATAAAGGCTATTCAACTTACTTTCACACTCTTAGCAGTGGTTGTAGAAGTGTGTGACTGAAATACATAAGTGGTTTAAGGTGTATAACAAATTATCAAGAAACAGAAATGATGATGGTCACATTTAGCTAACAAATGTGGGCTTGTTTCACAGTAGAGTGGGTCCTTGTCTTAAACCCATCACTCGGTCCCTTCAACAGCCTCTTTCACAGTGGTCTGAGGCACGCTTTGGCATGTCTGTAGCCTAACAGCTATTGGAGCTGTGTGTGTCTGTGTGTGTCTGTGTGTGTTGTTATGTCTCACCTTAGGTTTGATGGGTTTGATAGTGGAGATCTCTGTTCCCTCAGCTCTCTGCCTGCCAGAGTCAAACACCTTCCTCTTCTTAGCTGCTGCTTTCTGACAGATTGGGGTATGTTTCTTCTACAGGGGGAGAAGGAAAGGGACAGGGAGGTTTAAACCTCAAAATGCAAGTACATGCTATAGTGTGTGTCTGTATGTGTGTGTGTGTGTGTGTGTGTGTGTGCGCGTGTGTGTGTTGCTAGCGTACATAATATCAAAGTGTAATCTGTGTTGAGGGAGCCACACCTTAACAACACAGCCAGCAACACAACAACATAATGACTATCAGGTGCTGCTCACTCTATCCTCCATCCATTTGCTAACTGCTGTGGACAGTATCACCAAAACATAAATAGTGGTCATTATTTAATTACCGCCTCCACATGTTTAGCTAGCGTAAACATGGCTATTTAACCTCACCAGTGTTTGGCAAGCATATCAAAACATAATCCCAGTTTTACTCTGCTGCAGAGGTATAATTATGAAGCATGAAGGATATGTATGTCAGTGAGCCAGCCAAGGCTCATCATAGAAAACAACATGAATCTGTACACAAATCTGTGTGTGTGTGTGTGTGTGTGTGTGTCCTACCAGGACTTTAGTGAAGAAGCTCCTTCCACAGATTTTACAGGGGATCAGCTCTTCGTTGGAGGGCGGAGCCTCCTCCACATCTGTACAGAAGGGAATGGATGTAGAGAAGATGAAGAGCTGTCATACAGGCTAGGCTAGGCTAGGCTAGGCTAGGCTACACTACACCACCAGGGGCATAAGAGTACTTGACAGAAATATGCCTAGGCCAAATGGGTAACAGAATATCTGGCAAGCAGGAATATAGCAAAGCTATGTGTTGGTTAGTGTGAAATGTATTTTATCTAATTCTATTCTAAATGATCAGGCAGGCACCCAGGCAGCCTGAAACATAACAGCACTTGACAGAAATATGAAGCAAGAGGTGCCAGGATTAAGCTAAATGTATTCAAGTAACAAACACTACTATGCACTGGTTCCAAATAGCATTAATAATTGCATAAAATAGTAGACCATTCAGAATTGCTAAATAATATAAATGCTTCAGTCTAGCAATGCATCAAGGCTGTTGGTGATGGTTTCAGTGGCTTTAAGGTTTGAGAAACATTTTAGATGTAGCTAGCTAGGTTGTGACAGACCCATTTTTAGGCTATTGTTTAGGTTGTGAGATAAAATAAAATAAATATTGATCTAGGTTATTCTATCAATGTTAGCTAGCCGGTTAGCATGAGGCTGCCAAGCCTGCCATTCCAAGCACACAACATGTCCTTTCTTCAAGCGCTGTGGCCTATGTAAGGCTATCAAATAGCTATAAAGCTAGCAAATAGCAATCAACTATTCAATCAGTTAGCTATTCAACTATTCAAAGCAAGGTATAAGCATGGATTACGAACAACCAGTGCCACCAATATTGGGATAACGCCCTAACCACAGGCGTCATACTCCACCCTGTTTTGGCCAGACACAGCAAAGAAAGAGCTCGGTCAACGAAAATAGTGCAGTTCTGCGGCACTGAAAAATCAACACAATAAAATAAGAAGTCGCATTGAAAACCTCGGATTTATTCAACAGTAAAAGCGATAACTGGTTATGTCCTCAATTTCTTATTTACTAAACGTCTTACCCTCAAAGTCCTCCATCTCTCTTGTCTGTGTCGGTCGCTGATGCTGCTGTAGCAACTGACTTGTCTAGGAAACGGCAGCACGTCCCAACATCGGAGGACTTCATTGGCCATTCCTCTGCCGCTGGCAGACAGGAATGGGTGCATTGTTTATTTTGAACTGCAGGTGGGGCGTGGGAGGCAACCCGTTCCCTCTGTCTGTGGATTGAAGTTTCACGTTTCGAATAAAATAAAATCAAATTGTATTCGCCACATGCGCCGAAAACAACAGTGAAATGCTTACTTACAAGCCCTTAACCAACAATGCAGTTTTAAGAAAATAAAAAAAGTGTTAAGTAAGAAATAGATAAGTAAAAAATATAAATAGCAAATAATTAAAGAGCAGAAGTAAAAAATAAAATAACAGTAGGGAGGCTATATACAGGTGGTACGGGTACAGAGTCAATGTGTGGGGGCACCTGTTAGTCTAGGTAATTGAGGTAATATGTACATGTGGGTAGAGTTAAAGTCACTATGCATAGAAAATAAACAAAGAAGCAGCAGGGTAAAAGAGGGGGCTTTAATGTCACGTGCACATGTACAGTGAGTGAAATTCACCCAATGGGAAGAAAGCTCATTCCATAGGCCTACTTGCCCAGTTTTATTTTTTATGTGCTGACATTGGCTGACATCAGCACATCTCTTTTGGGGGTTTACTGTTTTAGCATATAAGAACATAAGAACATAGCATAATGTTATATTTTGTCAGGGCAAAGATAACATGGCCTTTAATTTAAACAAATAAAACTAACAACAAGTCATCTGAGTGTTGGTAAAACTTCAGTATAATCATTTAGCCTTGAATTAGGCCTTTATGTTAATAGACTTGAGCAGCCAGACTTCCGTATTGAACACATATGTTAAGTTTGAATGGGGTCTTTCACACGCTGCCACAATTAACCACATTCTTAGGCCTCAATATGTTTTTCTTCTTGGCTGTGCGGGTCAGTATCTCACACACTGACTGCTCAGTGCTCTCTCTCTCTAGCTCTCTCTCGCTCTCTCTATGCTCTCAATTCAATTACATTTTTTTTTTTTTTCACCTTTATTTAACCAGGTAAGCCAGTTGAGAACAAGTTCTCATTTACAACTGCGACCTGGCCAAGATAAAGCAAAGCAGTGCGATAAAAACAACAACACAGAGTTACATATGGGGTAAAACAAAACATAAAGTCAAAAATACAACAGAAAATATATATACAGTGTGTGCAAATGTAGCAAGTTCTGGAGGTAAGGCTATAAATAGGCTATAGTGCAAAATAGTTACAATTAGTATTAACACTGGAATGATAGATGTGCAAGAGATGATGTGCAAATAGAGATACTGGGGTGCAAATGAGCAAAATAAATAACAATATGGGGATGAGGTAGTTGGGTGGGCTAATTTCAGATGGGCTGTATACAGGTGCAGTGATCGGTAAGGTGCTCTGACAACTGATGCTTAAAGTTAGTGAGGGAGATAAGAGTCTCCAGCTTCAGAGATTTTTGCAATTCGTTCCAGTCATTGGCAGCAGAGAACTGGAAGGAATGGCGGCCAAAGGAGGTGTTGGCTTTGGGGATGACCACGGGTGGGTGTTGCTATGGTGACCAATGAGCTAAGATAAGGCGGGGATTTGCCTAGCAGTGATTTATAGATGGCCTGGAGCCAGAGGGTCAAAGTGCTTTATTGGCATGGGAAACATCTGTTAACATTGCCAAAGTAAGTGAAATACATAATAAACTAAAGTTAAATAAACAATAAAAAAGGAACAGTAAACATTACACTCACAAAAGTTTTAATGGAATAGAGACATTTCAAATGTCATTTTATAGCTATGTACAGTGTTGTAACAATGTGCAAATAGTTAAAGTACAAAAGAGAAAATAAATAAACATAAATATGGGTTGTATTTGCAGGTCACAAATCTTGCTGCTGTGATGGCCCACTGTGGTATTTCACCGAATATATACAGGAGTTCATCAAAATTGGATTTGTTTTTGAATTTTTGTGGGTCTGTGTAATCTGAGGGAAATATGTGTCTCTAATATGGTCATACTCTCTCTTTCTCTCTCTCTCTCTCTCTCTCTCTCTCTCTCTCTCGCTCTCGCTCTCTCTCTCTCGCTCTCTCTCGCTCTCAATTTCAATTCAATTTAAGGGTCTTTATTGGCATGGTAAACGTGTGTTAACATTGCCAAAGCAAGTGAAGTAGATAGTAAACAAAAGTGAAATAAACAATAAATATTAACAGTAAACATTACACTCAGAAGTTTCAAAAGAATAAAGACATTTCAAATGTCATAATATGTATATATACAGTGTTGTAACAATGTGCAAAGAGTTAAAGTACAAATGGGAAAATTAATAAACATAAATATGGGTTATATTTACAATGGTGTTTGTTCTTCACTGGTTGCCCTTTTCTTGTGGCAACAGGTCACAAATCTTGCAGCTGTGATGGCACACTGTGGTTTTTCACCCAGTAGATAAGGGAGTTTATCAAAATTGGGTTTGTTTTCGAATTCTTTGTGGATCGCTGTAATCTGAGGGAAATATGTGTCTCTAATATGGTCATACATTTGGCAGGAGGTTAGGAAGTGCAGCTCAGTTTCCACCTCATTTTGTTGGCAGTGTGCACATAGCCTGTCTTCTCTTGAGAGCCAGGTCTGCCTACGGCGGCCTTTCTCAATAGCAAGGATATGCTCACTGAATCTGTACATAGTCAAAGCTTTCCTTAAGTTTGGGTCAGTCACAGTGGTCAGGTATTCTGCCACTGTGTACTCTCTGTTTAGGGCCAAACAGCATTCTAGTTTGCTCTGTTTTTTTGTTTGTTCTTTCCAATGTGTCAAGTAATTCTCTTTTTGTTTTCTCATGATTTGGTTGGGTCTAATTGTGTTGTTGTTGTTGTTGTTGTCCTGGGGCTGTGTGGGGTCTGTTTGTGTTTGTGAACAGAGCCCCAGGACCAGCTTACTTAGGGGACTCTTCTCCAAGTTCATCTCTCTGTAGGTGATGGCTTTGTTATGGAAGGTTTGGGAATCGCTTCCTTTTAAGTGGTTATAGAATTTAACGGCTCTTTTCTGGATTTTGATAATTAGCGGGTATTGGCCTAATTCTGCTCTGCATGCATTATTTGGTGTTTTACGTTGTACACAGAGGATATTTTTGCAGAAGTCTGCATGCAGTCTCAATTTGGTGTTTGTCCCATTTTGTGAATTCTTGGTTGGTGAGCGGACCCCAGACCTCACAACCATTTTAGCCAGATCCTAATTGGTATGTCGAATTTTATGTTCCTTTTGATGGCATAGAAGGCCCTTCTTGCCTTGTCTCTCAGATCGTTCACAGCTTTGTGAAAGTTACCTGTGGCGCTGATGTTTAGGCCGAGGTATGTATCGTTGTTTGTGTGCTCTAGGGCAACGGTGTCTAGATGGAATTTGTATTTGTGGTCCTGGCAACTGGACCTTTTTTGGAACACCATTATTTTTGTCTTACTAAGATTTACTGTCAGGGCCCAGGTCTGACAGAATCTGTGCAGAAGATCTAGGTGCTGCTGTAGGCCCTCCTTGGTTGGTGACAGAAGCACCAGATCATCAGCAAACAGAAGACATTTGACTTCAGATTCTAGTAGGGTGAGGCCGGGTGCTGCAGACTGTTCTAGTGCCCTCGCCAATTCGTTGATAAATGTGTTGAAGAGGGTGGGGCTTAAACTGCATCCCTGTCTCACCCCACGGCCCTGTGGAAAGAAATGTGTGTGTTTGGATTTTGTGTGTACATGGATTTTATAATGTCGTATGTTTTTCCCCCAACCCCACTTTCCATCAATTTGTATAGCAGACCCTCATGCCAAATTGAGTCAAAAGCTTTTTTGAAATCAACAAAGCATGAGAAGACTTTGCCTTTGTTTTGGTTTGTTTGTTTGTCAATTAGGGTGTGCAGGGTGAATACGTGGTCTGTCGTATGGTAATTTGGTAAAAAGCCAATTTGACATTTGCTCAGTACATTGTTTTCACTGAGGAAATGAACTAGTCTGCTGTTAATGATAATGCAGAGGATTTTCCCAAGGTTGCTGTTGACGCATATCCCACGGTAGTTATTGGGGTCAAATTTGTCTCCACTTTTGTGGATTGGGGTGATCAGTCCTTGGTTCCAAATATTGGGGAAGATGCCAGAGCTAAGGATGATGTTAAAGAGTTTAAGTATAGCTAATTGAAATTTGTGGTCTGTATATTTTATCATTTCATTGAGGATATCATCAACACCACAGGACGTTTTGGGTTGGAGGGTTTGTATTTTGTCCTGTAGTTCATTCAATGTAATTGGAGACTCCAGTGGGTTCTGGTAGTCTTTAATAGTTGATTCTAAGATATGCATTTGATCATGTATATTTTTTTGCTGTTTGTTCTCTGTTATAGGGCCAAAAAGATTGGAGAAGTGGTTTACCCATACATCTCCGTTTTGGATAGATAGCTCTTCGTGTTGTTGTTTGTTTAGTGTTTTCGAATTTTCCCAGAAGTGGTTAGAGTCTATGGATTCTTCAATTACATTGAGCTGATTTCTGACATGCTGTTCCTTCTTTTTCCGTAGTGTATTTCTGTATTGTTTTAGTGATTCACCATAGTGAAGGCGTAGGCTCAGGTTTTCTGGGTCTCTATGTTTTTGGTTGGATAGGTTTCTCAATTTCTTTCTTAGGTTTTTGCATTCTTCATCAAACCATTTATCACTGTTGTTACTTTTCTTTGGTTTTCTGTTAGAGATTTTTAGATTTGATAGGGAAGCTGAGAGGTCAAATATACTGTTTAGGTTTTCTACTGCCAAGTTTACACCTTCACTATTACAGTGGAACGTTTTGTCCAGGAAGTTGTCTAGAATGGATTGAATTTGTTGTTGCCTAATTGTTTTTTGGTAGGTTTCAACACTACTTTCCTTCCATCTATAGCATTTCTTAATATTATTCAGTTCCTTTGGCTTTGATGCCTCATGATTGAGTATTGCTCTGTTCAAATAGACTGTGATTTTGCTGTGGTCTGATAGGGGTGTCAGTGGGCTGACTGTGAACGCTCTGAGAGACTCTGGGTTGAGGTCAGTGATAAAGTAGTCTAC